AGACTACTAAGCACCTTTTTCATTAAAGCTTCGGGAAGGCAAGTTATTCCACTGCTTAATTGTTCTCACTGTTTGGAAATTTCTCTTTAGTTCTAGGTTGCTTCCTCTCCTTGATTAGTTTCCATTCAGGGGTGGGATTCTACCGGTTCAGACCGGTTCGGGCAAACCGGTAGCTCCACTGAGCATTTGGCCCCGCCCACTTGCCCCTGCTGTTTCCTATGCTTTATTTCGTTGTTTTAGAGCACAGCTGATTCGCAGAGCAGTTTGCTGCGCCTCAGCTGTTTTATTCACAGGGGCTGCTGTAGAAGGTAAGTATTAGAGCTGAAAATTGGTTTTTTAAAATGTGGAGCACGCGTGCGGAGCGTGCGCTTGGCACGCATGCACTCACCAAGCCAGTTATTACACCGGTTGAATCACACCACTCTTTCCATCCATTGCTTCTTGCCTTGCCTTCCAGAAACTTTAATATAAAACCAACAATGGTGGTTTTTAAGAAGAGATTGGACAACATTTATCTGAAATGGTACAGGGTTTCCTGCCTAAGCAGGAGGTTGGACTAGAAGACCTTCAAGGTCCTTTCCAATTCTGTCATTCTGTTAAGAAAAGCTGAAATGCAGCCCAAGCACTTTAGAACAAAATAACTTGGAAAATTATTTACAAAACAAGATGGGATTGCCCATTCTTATCTGGCAAGAATAATCCACTTTCAACAGCTATTCCTCTGGTTGCAGAATGACAATCCTTCAGAATGGTCACAGGTCCTTTTGGAGGGTTATAGGTCCTTTTTTATATTTGAGACTAGTTTAAACATTTTTCTTCTACGTTGCTAGTATCCCACAAATTCTTCTTTTGTCTTCTGTTTTAACCAAGGCAGCAAGACTACAGATTTTTAGATGTTGTTTGTATCATCTTGAATGATGAGGAGCTCTTGAACTGCCTGATAGAAAGAACATCCACTTTGGGGAAGATTCAGTGTTATTCCAACTCTACAGACTATGACTGTAGACTGGTGGAATCCCAGAATTTTAGAAATTATTTTATAACCTTTTCCAGATTATAAGAATCAATTTTTTTTTACAGAGGTATTCAAGTTTTTTATTTTGATTGAGGTTTGATATATGCTTAGTATTTGTAAGATGAGAAAAACCATTATAATATATGTTTAATATATATATTTATATAAGATGGGATTGGCCCATATCAAATGATTGCTTAATAAAATGCCCAACTGTCCCTATTTTTCCCCTTAATTAAATTGGGCATGGATTATTTTTAAAGTGGCATGTAGGAAGACAATTATTAAATTTATTTCTCTCTTTGTGTATATATAGAGAAAATGGATAAGGATTTTTGTATCTCATAATCTTATAATATTAGAATCAGAACTTTATTCTTCTGATTCCAATTAGAATCTTTAGAATTAGATTCTAAAGATTCTAATTATATTAGAATATTTAGAATATTATCTTCTAAAGAGAAAAGTGAAAATCTATAGGTGAAGGAAATGTTCTTGTTTCATAGTTTGTGATTAAACTATGAAAGTGTAAAATGCACTTCCACAAGATACGGTGATTATTATCGACTTAAATTGCCTTAAAAAGAATTTCATAAATTAGTACTTTCCACCTAGTAATGTCTGCCAGCCATAATTACTTGGTTCCCTCAGATTCGGAGACAGCTTCTTCTGAATATTAATATTTGGGTATCAAAAGTAGTAGAAACCATCATCTCAGAAATAAGCTCTTTGGCCACTAAGGGAAATGAGATGCTGGACTGTTAGGTTTTTTTTCCTGTGATTCTGTTTCTTTTTACTCAGTTCATTTGTTCTAAAAAAAATTCCTTCCTTCCTTCCTTCCTTCCTTCCTTCCTTCCTTCCTTCCTTCCTTCCTTCCTTCCCTCCCTCTTTCTTTCTTTCTTTCTTTCTTTCTTTCTTTCTTTCTTTCTTTCTTTCTTTCTTTCTTTCTTTCTTTCTTTTTTTCTTTCTATAAATAGAGGTGGCAAACTACCTAATACTCCTTTCTTCTCTAATTTCCCCACAACAACTTGTGAGGTAAGTAGGACTGAGAGAGAGTAACTGGCTTTAAACTGTACTTTAGTACTTTAAACTACCAAAAGAAGATTGGAAAATATCAGTTTATTCTGATCTGAAAACCAGGATACTAATGGTGGAATTAGATGTAGGTTTTGCTGCAAAAATCTGAAGGATGCACATAGCTTCTGTCAAAAAAAACAGGGTATAATTCTGAACTCCTTAAAGAAAAAAATACATTTAATGAATAATAATATTTTAATAATAATTCTATATAAATATAATTTATATTTATTATAAATAAATATATAAATACACATCTGGAAGAAGCAACAAATGTAAATTATGCAGATAGAAAGACAGGACCGGACCTAATAAGAACCTATAGAAAAATTATACAGATTGTAAGGCAAGACATCATCAGGGAGAAAAAAATGATATATTAGAATTTACATGAAGATTTAATAATGTGATGTCCCAAAATGTTAGTATGATCACAGTGTTGAAAATGGCCTTGTAAAAAAATGTATAGAACTGTCATCTAGAACATAGTATTCCAGATAATCCAGTAAAACAAATTTACCTGCAGAAGTGACAATACCAAATGAAAACAAAGTAACTCAAAATGAATTGGAAAACACTGTAAAATATTGGAATTTGACAGATGAAATACTGAGATTACAGAATAAATTGGCCAAACATTTTCACATTAATGCATTAGGAACTATAACAATAGAATCAAAACAGTCCTATTTTTTCAATGTGTTCTGACCCGCTCCCAAACATGACAAGCACACTGTTTGTAACAAAAAGTTCCCTTTATTAGGAGCATCAACAGCTCCGGCCCAGAGTCTCTCTTCACAAAGTTTCTAAGTGCCTGTGGAAAGCGAAACTGGCTCCCTTTCCCCCTGAAATGGGACCAATACACCAGGAGTCTCTTTCTCCCCACACTCATAAAAGAAGTCCTGGAAGGTGTGTTCACTCGTTTCCAGCATCACACACACACACGCTCAAAAGGCACGCCTGACTCTCAACACAGCAGATTCCATGAAAGAATTTTGATAAAGTTCCAGACAAGATTCAGTGGTTTAGCAGTGGCTGACCGACAGGGAGATGAATAGTTGTCTGCCATACCTATTCACCTCCGCCCCCTGCCTTTTATCTCCAGAGCTAAGGTGGGGCTTAATTAGCATTGGTAGCTCTTCCATCCTGATGACCAGCTCATAATGTCCCACTGCTCTCCTTTCCTCTGCCTTCTGCACATCCGTGTGTCAGGCACAAGACCCAGCTGTTTCTCCTTTTCCTCATCAGCCACTTTCAAACCTGGGGGCTGTTGCCTTTCCATCTGGAGCCTGCTGGATGGCCCAGGCTCTGCCTCTGTCTCTATCTCTGACATTTCCTCTTCCCCTTGGAGCTCTCCTCCAAATGCTTTGATGCGTGCCTGACTCCCACTCCTCCTCTTCCTCTGATTCAGCTGCTGGAGAGGCCAACAGCTGAGACTCCACAACATAATGGTTATCAAAACAGTTGAAAAGGGAATAGAATAATTTAACCTCAGAACATTTAGTTCACAAATTCACATCCCAAAATCTTGTTATGGTAATGTTTGGGAAATTGTTAGACTTTCGAATAGAACTTATATCGACACTAAGCATTCTTAAAAGGTAATAGTAATAATATTTGGTGGTATTGCAGATCCCGGCAATAAATTTGTCAGGTCCAAAGTCAGATTTGTAATTCAAAGTACTTTCAAAACTGAAAGGCAGTGAATAAGCAGAGGAGCATGCAGTCATCATAATATTCTTTTTACCTGTCTTTCTAGCTTGCAGTTTAAAAATTGCATTTAAATGTATCCATTCATACACAGAATAAACACTGCTGCTGTATTTTTAATGTAATAATACTCCACTGGTAACAACCATTGTATTTTACATTTTAATCAGAAATGGTAATTTTTGTTAGAGTGGACTCGATCTATACAAGCATAAATAAAATGTCATGGAGCAAGACCATTTATTTGAACGAGGAAAAAACTGTTTAGAACTATGGAGAGATCAATAGACCATAAAAGTCCTTGTTTGCCTTGTCTGAATTCTGTATCAGTCTCTGAATTACAGAAGTGGTCTATATTCAGTAGAATGATAAGGAGCTTAAGTAGCTTTCAGAATAATGTTGGCGCTTGGAATGAACATCTCTTTGCTGTGGCCACTTTTCAAAAGATAAAGGCCAGAGATCAGTATGCAGCTCTGAGCTTTGACTTAAGATAAACGAGAGTTAGACTTTAATGTTTTCTTATCCTATGGTATTCATCTTCCAAGTCTAGTTTACTGCTCTAGTTGCCAAAATCCAAATTAGATGAGGGTCTTGTCTATTTTGGAGTGGTATATATAAGCATCTAGAAAATATGAAAAATTCATATTCTTAAACTACATATAATCATAATTAGGAACAAATAAAAGCAGGGAAAGATTAAAATCAACCAACTGGTGTGCTTTGTGTTTTTACTTTACTTTGTGTTTTTACTTTCTAGAAATAGCAAATAAATAAGCAGCTTCCCATCTGGCTAAGCAACTTTATTTGATTAAAAAGAGCTAGCCCAGGTTTTCCCCCCTGAAGCTATTCGTTTACTAGGACAATCCTGATAATTCATAATAACAAGAACACAATGCACCCCTTCACCTAATAAAATGGCTTCATCAAATCAAGATTTTTGTTTATTTGTTATGGTATTCTATGTAGCTCAGATCATGGATTTAAGAAAAATAATATATTTAATGCAATGCAAAAACAAGCAACAAAAACTACCTTATCACAGAACATTGCATAGAGCAGATAAATCCCATAAGCAGCAGAAATAACAATAAACCTACTGAACACTCATTGGTACCATCAACTTATAGTAATCTATTGCACATAAATATGGTAAACATAATCTCTTTTTGAATACTGTATATATGTTATATTATTGGAGGGGGTCTGAAGAATGTATTCAAAATTTTGTGGGATAGAAGAGATTTTCAGACCATATATTGTTTACCTAGCCTCTAAACCAGGGGTCTTCAAACTTGACAGCTTTAAGACTTGTGGACTTCAACTCCCAGAATTCCTCCTCCAGTCATGTTAGCTCAGGAATTCTGGGAGTTGAAGTCCATAAGTATTAAACTTGCCAAGTTTGAAAACCCTTGCTCTAAACCTTTCAATGTTTTGATTCAGATAGGAGAGAATATTTGTAGCTCACGGTTGGATTGTGGGATCCTGACTTTTCTGTTAAATTCAGTCCTTGCATATTTAAAGGCAGAAAGTTGGAGAAGGTTATAGTTTCTAATGATTGATAACCTCCGTCAAGCCTAAAGACTGGAATTACTACCATGGTTAATGCTTTCAATAATCTTGAGAGTTTTGTTACTTAAATTAGCAACATTTCCTCTGTTTTCCTTTTCTATTTATATTTGTACATTGCGTTCCTGTGTATGGAATGTTGTTGTTGTAGTGTGGGTGGAGGTATGGTACACAAGTGCGTCAAACACCCACCTAAGCCCCTTTCTTATATTGTTCTTGTAGAATGGGACATATGGTTTACCAGATTGTATTAGACATCTGCTACACAAAAAACTATTACCACTTTTCAGGCTTCTCTCAGTTATTTACTTTAATATTCTTCCTTTTTATAGAAAAGATTATCTCGCAAACTAGATTTCCCATAATAAATAGACATCATTATTTTGTTCTAATCCTATATCTTTTCCCCCTTAAATATAATGTCTTTCACAATATAGCAACAGCAATAGCACTTTACAGTATACCGCTTTACAGTGCTTTAAATCCCTCTCTTAAGTGGTTTACAGAGTCATCATATTGCCCCCAACAATCTGGGTCCTCATTTTACTCACTTTGGAAGGATGGAAAGCTGGATCAACCTTGAGCTGGTGACACTCAAACTGCTGAACTGCCGGCAGTCAGCAGAAGTAGGCTGCAGTACTGCATTCTAACTACTGCGCCACCACGGCTCTTATACATAGTTGTATAACCATTTCATTTATTTTGCTTGTGGGCATAGCATTTTTCCCATTGCACTGTTGTTGAGAAATACCCAATATGAAGACTCCTGAATGAGCTAAACCTTGGAAACCCTTCCTTTCTTCTTTTGAAAAATGAAGTATTGAAAACGTCATATGTTATCCTTTTAGGAAGTGAAGAGACACCTTGGTGAGAATATTTTTTAAAATGTAGATAGATCTTGATTTGTTAACTATTTCACATTGTTTAATTCATGGCAATAAAGCAAATGCAATAGAAACTGTCTTTCTGGTAGAGAAAGTTCTGCTGTTCATCATACATTTTAGCCTCCAGACCCTTTTTCATCTTCATTGCTCTTCTTTGCATTCTTTCTAGGATCCCAGCATCCTTTTTGTGTCATGGTGGCCAACATTGGACACAATATTCCAAATGTTGGCCAACATTGGACACAATATTCCAAATGTTACACTCCACTAGTGCAGTGTAGAATAGTACTTTTACTTCCTGTGATCTTGACGCTATCCCTATGTTGATGCAGCCTAGAACTAGATTGGCGTTTTTGGCAGCTGCAGCACACTGCTGGCTCATATTTAAGTGGTGCTCCACCAGGACACCTCGATCTCTCTCACAGGCACTACTGATGAGCCAGGTACTTCCTGTGTATTAAGTTTTTCCTTCCTCCTGCAAGACTCCTTTTTTTCATCACTGAACTGCATCTTGCTGGACCAAGGCAATAGTATAAAAATAGGGGAGGAAAAACACTTTTACCAGAAGGAAGAAATAATGTGGAATTAAGTAGTCTCTCTTTAAGAAAAAAAATGGAAAGAAAAATTGTCAAAAAAATGTATGCAAATTTTGCTGAATTCATTTATTCAAATAAGTATTTGAACATTCTGGCCATATATTAAAGAGGGGTGCAAGTTATTATTGTGAATTCAATCTACATTACAGAATAGGGACTTAAAGCTTCCTATGCTCTCAATAGTGTGTTTTATTCTGTACCCTTGTATACCTGGTGTACAGGTAGTCCTCCTTTAACAATTGCTCCTCTAGTGGCTAAAGATGTTACTACTTCCCCAAAAGCTAATTACAATTCTATTTTGAAGTTATGGCTGCTTCAGTGCCCCTGCAATCCTTCACCCTTATGACTGATAGAAGGAGTGCTGAAGCAGCCCCCCCCCAACCTCTGTCCCCCTCCATTCTGCCCTGCTAGGTTTCCACAGCCTTGAACCTACCTGTCATGATGTACACTTATCTTTTAAGGTAATATGCTTACTGGCCAAAAAGGTTCGGAGATCGTTCTATGGTGAAACCCTCCAAAAACGAATTCCCTTTGTCTGCATAATAACCCTTCTGTTGTTTTGAAAAAGAGGGGAAGCTTTCATGTTTTTAGACAATGACTCATTTCAAAAGTTCAGAGATAGAAGGAAATCTAGACACTGGAATAAATGGAAGTTTTTCTAACCCTAGTTTAGAGTACAATTCTCAAACTAATTAATAGTTCTGTAGCCCTGTTAATAGCTGTGTAGTTATAATTCATTATAATTAGCTGTAATGCTTGTCTATATATAGATATAATTAATTATAATAGTTGTATATTATAATTCAGTCTATGAATCATAGATTCACTGATCTGATTGTGTCTCCTTCCATTTGCCTTCCATGTATTTTCACTGTTTTTTTTTTAACCTTTTGCTCACCACTGGGGCAATCAGAATGAATATGGGAAAATTCATAAAATTACTAGGGTTAAGTAAAGATTTTTAAGGTACATTTAGTTTGTAAAAAATATGGTTCAGCCATCAGAATAGAGAATTTTTGCTCTAAATATTTTCCTCTTGTGTTTTTTTTTTTCATACTTCTGCTCGATCATCAAAGCAACTAAATGCCTTCAACTCCTGGCAAGTCATTTAGAGCAGGGGTCCCCAACCACCGGTCCGCGGAACAACTCCTACCGGGCCGCGGCTTGCTGGGTGCCGCCATGTTTTTTTCATGAAAAAGTGCTTCCGGTGAGCTTTTCCGGGTAGAAAGCTCACCGGAAGCACGTTTTCATCAAAAAAAGATGGCGGCGCCCAGCTGATGCCGGTACCGGGCCGTGGCGCCCAGCTGATGCCGGTACTGGGCCGCGGCGTCAAAAAGGTTGGGGATCACTGATTTAGAGAACTCAGAAAAAAAACATATATTGAAGAGCATGTTTTAAAGTCTTCCTAAACTAAAAGAAGTTTAGATAGCTATCGATTCAGCAAGAAACTGTTTTTTTTTCTCATATCCTATTTTTACACTTCCTCTCTTTTTTTTTCCAGTCTCCTGTACAATTGCTTCTCTTCACTGGTCCAGTTCAGTGTCAGAAGTTAAATGGATCAATTATTTGCAAACTGCCTGTTGATCTGTATGGCTATATGGCAATCAGAATTCCAAGAGAAGTGATTTCTTCTGTTTGTCTCTCTTTCCATTGTCAAATGGCTGCTTTACTTCCTACTGAGGCATAAGCTGTCTGCAGAGACAGGTGGGCTGAGGGTGTCCTCAAGGAACTATAATGAATTTTGGCCCACAACCAGTCTTCTGCAGCATCCAAGAAGAATTATTTTTTTGGGGGGGGAGTCATGAGCTGAGTGTTTCACTGGCTGTCGGCATATTTGCTGATCTGAAATTTGGACTTAAAAAGTCACAGCATCCTTGTCACAGAACTGTTTTTGCGCCACTATTCTCCTTTATGCAGGATAATAATTTAGCACTCTCTAACTTTTGACTAAACAAAGATTAATCTGACTAGCAGGCAGCATGAAATTCTTCAATAACACTTGGATTCTTATTCTGAGTAATTATAACAGGGATCTGAATTTCATTTAATTTTCCTGCAATCAGCATCACAGGAAACACTGATTTTTGGGGGAATCCATTTTATTTAGTTGTTGCAGTATTTGTTTTAACGGTATTGTTGTTAGTTGCAAAGTCATGTCCGATCCATCACGACCCCACGAACAACGTTCCTCCAGGCCTTCCTTTCCTGTACCATCTTCTGGTATACAGTATACCATTTGATAAAATGTGGAGTTAATTCTCTTTGTATGTGGCTAGAAAATACAAAATTATCTTTAGAACAGAAAACACATAGCACAGTGCATGTGATTGTTTTGTTTTTCATTTTTTAAAAAGTCTCTTTAAGTTCAGCTGCATTTCAATGACATGATTACAATTTTCAGTCACTTAACTACATAACAACCTAGAGAATTCCCAGGCACTGTTGTGGCACAGTTCTTGTGCTGAATGTATACTTTACAATTTGGCAATACAACTCATAAAAAAGGTTCAGGGGGTTATTTCTTTGATTTAAGACTATCAGAGATAAACATGGTACAAGCAATTATATGTGTTTGAAGGACAAAGGAATAAATATTTGTTATACATCAAGCATTTTCAGCAGTGGTGCAAATCCAGTGTTACTACCGGTTGAAACTGTGAGTACTTTATTATATGATTCATTTATAATATAACTGATATAAATAAATATACAGCTCATTTTGTAAGGCCTTTTATCTTGTAAAAAATGTGTGTAAGAAAAACAAATGTTACTGTTAATGTATAGGTTGTCCTTGACTTACAGCCACACTTGAGGCCAACATTTATGTTGTTAAGTGAGTTGTGTGCCATTTTAAGACCTTTCTCGCCACAGTTGTTAAGCTAATCACTGCAGTTGTTAAGTTAGTAACACAATTGTTAAGTGAATCTGAATTCCCCATTGACATTGCTTGCCAGAAGGTCACAAAAGGTGATCACATGACTCCAGACACGTTTTGTGCATGTAAAGGTAAAAAGATAATAGAACTGAACATCAAATAAGCATGAAAAATTGTCTTTGCAATCATTTATTCAACAACAAAATAACATATATGTCATGTCCTTTTTCTGAAAAATGTATATCTTTGGCTCTAATACCCAGTATTGCCCCTTTGGCAGAAACTAGGTTG